TGGCGCTTCAGAGAAAATCCCCGTTCGTAACTGCGGATCCGACATAAGTCGGATCCGCGTAACTCGGGGACTGCCTGTACTCAATGCAGCTGTAACTGTGGGGACAAATTCCACAGCACCATATCTAGCAGTATCATTTCTTGTTTTAGTGTATTGCATCCCCGTCTCTTACTTATCAAACATTCTGAAGAGATCCGAGAGTTCGCTTCAGAGAAAATCCCCGTTCGTAACTGCGGATCCGACATAAGTCGGATCCGCGTAACTCGGGGACTGCCTGTACTCAATGCAGCTGTAACTGTGGGGACAAATTCCACAGCACCATATCTAGCAGTATCATTTCTTGTTTTAGTGTATTGCATCCCCGTCTCTTACTTATCAAACATTCTGAAGAGATCCGAGAGTTCCTCTTCTGATTTTCCTTTGCTGTCATCTTTCATACACCGGACCATCATAACTAAGAACTCATCAAAGTCTACAGTGCCACTGCCTGAAAGCGGAATAAACAAGGTTTAGATTATGCTACAGTCTAGAAGGCAATCTTCCGTGTGCTTTTGCTTTTGACAAAAAGGCATACACATAACACAAAGACTAAATTATCATTTAGTAATCTAGCCACAAACTCCCTGGTAGTAGCACTGATGAGTGGGCAAGAGATTATGGGATGGATTCACCATTTATTTTCCCCCATATAATCATTTATACAAGTGCAAATTGAATATCAAACACAGCCACTTGTGTAAATGTGTAGAAAATTCTGACCTCCTAGCATCTAACACTCATTGCACTGAGGTAAAGTGCAAGACAATGGACGATCAAGCACTATATTTTTTATGTAAATGGTATGTTGTCATTTGTTACTTAAATGACACTGGGGAGATATTTTCCTTAATTCTTAGCACAATTTTCCTTGCGTTTTGTGTTTAACACACTTTTGGAAATTTGGAACTGAAATCTTTATAAAATTCTTTTTACTAGATTGTTTCCCACTCGTCTGAACAATCTGGTTTGTTATTGTGAAGTTGTTTGTGGCTATATCGTTGTGTTATATGGGTGTGCTTGTACGTGTCTGCACCCTGAAGAATTTGGTTTGGGCTCAGAAGCTGCACCTGTCTAGTTCCCTGGGATTTGCAAACACAGAAGAATGTGGTGGATCACATTTTCAGCCTAGAATCTTGCACGTGTCCTATTCTCTCCACATCCTGATACTGTCTCTTAAAAACAGTTTGAGAAATTGTTTGCATCTGTTATAGTAGTTATGTTTTTAGCGCCTTCCATTTGTTACAGTGGGTTGCTCAAAGGCATCTAAGACACTTTAGCATTCATTGCAATTCATGGGTGTCGGGGCCCTTCGAAGATTTCAGCTTTAGTGTTTCATAACCTACAGCCCCAGTCCTGCAACGTATTCACAGTCTTACACAAAATGGCCCTGTGTCTCTACTGTGCACTCCGCACAGAACCTCTGTGTCTAGAGACAATACAGGGTGAACCTCTATACTCCGGGCGTCACTCATCCGGGCTCCGGCACCCATGAGTGCTCCAGAGCATTCACGGGGACAAGCTGGGAGTCCCGCCATGGGTGGCAGTTATAAGAGATGAGGGGAACCCAAATGGCCAGGCCCAGAACACCCCCCGCTTCAGTACAGCTCCCTGTGGGATCTAAAGCAGTAGGCTTGTGTGGGGGAGGAGGGGTCGGGGGGAGATGTTGCTGCCCGCTGAGGTGGTGAACACTGGGACAGTGCACCCTCCTTGTGTTCCGGGGTGGGGGCCCTCCCCATGGTGCTCCAGGGCTGGGGCGGTTCCCATGGGAGGCTGAACACTTGTCCCTGTGGTGGATGGGACTCAGCTTCTGTGGGGGGGGGAGGGCTCAGGCACAAGGGGCAGGGCTGGGGGCTTGCCTCCCCCAGCCCTATGTTCACCCACCATCCATGGGTCCCTCGCTCAGCGACTCCTCCCCTGTCCTCCCAGAGCACGGTAAAAGCTGGTTTGTGGCATTCAAGCTCAGGGAGAGAGGGGGAGGGCACTCAGGGCGAAGAGGCTGGGGGCTGGAGGGCGGGGGGGGAGGGCTCAGGCACAAGGGGCAGGGCTGGGGGCTTGCCTCCCCCAGCCCTATGTTCACCCACCATCCATGGGTCCCTCGCTCAGCGACTCCTCCCCTGTCCTCCCAGAGCACGGTAAAAGCTGGTTTGTGGCATTCAAGCTCAGGGAGAGAGGGGGAGGGCACTCAGGGCGAAGAGGCTGGGGGCTGGAGGGCCGCCCGACGGCCATGGGGCTCTGCTGCAGGCCATGGGGCTGTGCTCTTGACTTCGGCTGCGGGGTTC